CATCTGTTAGATAGCACATGTTTTTCAAAAGTATGTACTTTATTTGCATGTCAGATGCTGAATTTGTCATTTTGCTTTATTTTGATTTTTTTCTGTTTGTGTGTTCATAAATGTAGAGACATCTGGGCTGGTTTTTAAAATTTAGATGAAATAGAATGGATAGCTTCTCTTTAGTTTTATTCATATCCACAGCAATGGTGATGTTTAGAACCTTTCAAGTAACAATGTATCTTGGAAGAACTATTACATGCAAGCTTACATTACTTATTGATCCAACAGTCTGATAGTAATAGGGAATAAAACATAATCATAGGCTTACTAGTGTATCTTTTTCTTGTCTGTGTTTACTACAGTCATTATGCCTGGGTTACCCTTTCTGTAACATGCTTTCTTCTTTGCCATTGTTGCTGTACTAGTTATAAGCTATGACAATGACCAATCTTTTATTTTGTTGGATATTTTCCCTGCAGTTAAGTTAAATTATACCAACTTTCTGTATATCCACTACATTGGTCTTCCTTGCATCATCCTTTCTAGTTGCTGTATGGAGGTGTACCAGTGATGTGCTTGACTGTCCCATGGCCAAACCTTGTTAGACTTTTTCTAATTTAGGATGGGAGGGTTTAGTAGTGTTTTGTCAGGGGTCATCTTTTAATTTCAAGAGGTATTGTAGGTTACGACTTTCTAGCTTTGTTTATGTAACTGTCACCACATCTAAATGCCTGTTGTTGCTGTCAAATTTCCTTATTACTTGGTGTTAATCTGTGAAGAAGATGTTAGATACAAGTGCTAAATTTAACTATGTTATTCAAATAGTAAAGCATTTGTTTCTTATGATTCTTCCATGTGGCCAGAAATTTCATAAATTATTTATAGTAACCCATTTCTTATTTTAAATCTTTAGGTAATTCTTTATAGTAGTGGCCACAGAATACATTTTATTTTTACCTGAGTGAATTCATTAGTGGTGTCACATAGTAAATATTATGTGACACTATAACTTAACATTTTAAGCATAATGTTAAAAATTAAGGGTCTTATTATAAAAGTTAATTATTGCTTCTTATTATAAAAGTAATATGAATTTATTATAGAATATTAATGATGTAGAAGAATCTCACTAGACTAAGATACCCATCATTAACTTTTCCATGCACATATTTATACATTTAATGTAAAATTATAATCATTCTTTTCTTAAATTGATACATAATAATTATATATTTTTATGAGGTAACATGTGATATGTTAGTACACATATACATTGTGTAATGAGAAAATCATGGTAATTAACATATCCAACACCTTAATCATTTATCATTTCTTTGTGGTGAGAACATTCAAAATCCTCTTTTCTAGTTATTTGAAATATACAATGCATTCTTTATTAGCTGTGGTCATCATACTACACAAAAGAGTAGCAGAACTTATTCCTTCTATCTAACTGTAACATTGACTGGTCTCTACCCATTTCCTCCTCCTACTATTCTCCTTGGTTTTTGGTAACCACTATTCTACTCTCAACTTATATTAAATCAATTATTTTAGATTCCACATATGAATGAGATCATGCAGTATGTATCTTTCTGTGCCTAAATTATTTCACTTAACATAATATCTTCTAGGCTCATCCATGTTGTCCAAATGACAAGATTTTTTTTTTTTATTATGGCTAAGTAGCATTCCATTGTGTATATACACCATGTGTTCTTTTTTCATCATCCATTGATGAGCATTTAGGTTGATTCCATATCTTGATTAATGTGAATACTGCCACATTAAATATGGGAATACAAATGTCTCTTCAACAACCCGATTTCATTTCCTTTGGATATATACTCAGTAGTGGGATTGCTGGAACATATGGTAAATCTATTTTAAATTTTTTGAGGAAGCTCAATACTGTTTTTCTCAATGGGTGCACTAATTTACATTTTCAACAACAGGATATAAGTGTCCCCCTTTTTTCACATCTATACCAGCATTTGTTATTTTCTGTCTTTTTGAAAATTGCCTTTCCAACTGGGATGAAGTTCTATCTCATTGTGGTTTTGGTTTGCATTTTTCTGATGGTTGGTGATGTTGGGTATCTTTTCATATAACTATTGGCTATTGGTAGCTCATCCTTGGAGAAATATCTATCAAGGACTTTTGGCCTTTTAAAAATCAGATTTATTTATTTATTTTTTTGCTATTGAGTTGTTTGAGTTCCTTATGATTTCTGGATATTAACCCCTTGTCAGATGTACAATTTACAAATATTTTCTTTCATTCTGTAGATTATCTCTTCATTCCATGAATTGTTTAATTTGCTGTGTATAAACTTTTTAATTTGATGTAGTTCCATTTGTTTAATTTTGCCTTCGTTGCTTTTGCTTTTTGGGTCTTATCTAAAAAAATCTTTGCTCGTGTAGCATTTCCCTTATGTACTCTTATATTAGTTTCATAGTTTGAGTCTAAAATTTAAACCTTTAATTTATTTTCGGTTGATTTTTATATATGGTGAGATATAGGTGTCTAGTTTTCCCAGCACTGTTTATTGAAGAGACTTTCTTTTCCCCATTGTGTGTTTTTGATACCTTTGTTGAAAATAGTAGGCTGTAAATAAATGGATTTATTTCTGTGATCTCTCTTCTCTTCCATTGGTCTATGTGTCTGTTTTCATATCAATACTATATTGTTTTGGTCACAATAGCTTTGTAATTGTGATATTTTGAAATCAGATAGAGTGATGACTCTAGCTTTGTTCTTTTACTCAAGATTGCTTTGGCTATTTGGAGTCTTCTATGGTTCTCTGTGAATTTTAGGATTGCTTTCCTAGGTTTCTCTATGAATTTTAGAATGTTTTTTCTATTCCTGTGAAGAATATCATTGGAGTTTTGATAGAGATTGCATTTATTTTGTAGATTGCTTTGAGTAGTACAGATATTGTAGCAATATTAATTCCTTTAATCCAGGAACATGAGATAACTTTTCATCTATTTGTGTCCTTTTAAATTTCTTTCATCTATATTTTATTGTTTTCATTGTAGCAATTTAAATAATACTCCCCCTATTTTTGTCTCTAGCTGTCCTCAGGTGGTTCACTACAATTGTACTGGTAGTGCTCCCTGTGGGCTGATGCAAAAAGCAAGTCTCCTGTGGAGGGAGGGACCCAGGATAGTAGGAAAGTTAAATGTCTCCTTCCAGCTTACTTTTTCCATTGTAGAAACCATGAGTCCAGGGGTACTTTCTGCATGCGGTAATATAATGGCTTTGGTGGAGTGGCATAACAGTGACAGGAATACAGTTCCTTTATCTTCCAACCACAGTTTTGCTTGTCCAATGGGGCTTCACAACCTCACTGTGTCTTCTGGTTTCCTTAGCTCTTGTGGAGGTAATATTTTTGTGTGAATGGTTGCTCAAGTTGATGTTTCTGCAAGGCTATGATTACTGGAAAGACCTACTCCACTGTCTTGTTCCACTTCTTTGAATCTAAAATTGGGATTATTATAAATAAATTATATTCTTATTTTACTCTATTATGAACAATTTTCCCTTGTTATTAAATTTTCTCCTAATTGTTTCATAATATAGAGTTTTAAAACTATATATAATGTTTTTCAATTTTGTAAAGAGATGATTAGGAATATTTAACAATTTTCCATGATGAGTCCATGTCCCTTCTATACTATATTATGACAGGCTAATGCCTCTAAAATTTTCTGTAAAATATAGATATTTGGCTTTACTTTTCTTACATCTTTACTCTTTGATGTTAATGCATGTTGATGACTTGATGCTAGCCTCTTGGAAAATCTCTCTCCCTTTTCAATTTTATGTATACAATAGGTACTTTTGCATGGTATTTAATATGTATTTCTTATTTTTATTCAGACTTCCTTATAATGTATTTGTTTCTTCCATTGATTAGCTATATGACTTTGGGTAGTTGCTTGACCCGTTTTCTTAATCTTAGAAATAGTACTACTAATAATAACTTCCATATAGTATTGCTTTGATGATTAAATTATATAATTCATGTGTACCACTTGGTACACCATGGCATGGTGTTTAATGTTTAAAAATTGATGCAATAATACACTGACCAATAAGAATAGATACAGGTCACAAACAACTGGCATCAGCTGAACATTGACTTTCCTGGATTAAGTGAGACACAGCTCAATTAAATGCTAATTGCTATCTTAGTTGCAATTATGATGAAATGCGAAGGCAAAAATGATGATGATGTTTGGGCAAGCAGTTACCAAACTGAGTCAAATATTATGCCCAAAACATGCACTAAGGACATTAGCTTTCATATATGAAGTTTATATCTAATCTGAAATTTTTGGATTTTTCTGTAATGTTAACATTAAAACAAAGTAAAAGTCTCATTTACAAAGACATAGAAAAGATCTCATGATTTAAATATGAATCTATTTAGTTGAAATTCAAATCGAATTTCAGTTAAGCTTTGAAACTTTTCTTGCCTAAAGAAGATACATGTTTATGCAAATTAATTTAAAAGTGATATTTTTGTTATTTTTACTAATAATTTATTTTCTTGAAGTAAGGATATATTTCCACACAATTTTCTATATTTATTGATTCTTTTACCATGTATAAACATAAGTAAGATGCATTTTAATATAGCTTATTAAAGCTATATTATTCAGTCCTGTATTTGTATAACTTAATAGAAATATCATTCACATGAATTTTCAAAGGATTATGTTAAAAAAGTATTCCCTCTTTACCTGTAACTTTTATGGTTGACTTTATTTCTAACTTCTGCATTTAATAGAGGATAAGGTAAATATTAACAATAATTTATTATGAATATTGTCATATTAATACTTTGAGCTACATGTGTTATTCATTCAAAAAACTTGGGAAATGCCCTTTAGACCTTGCTATGATCCAAATTTTTAAAACAAATTCTTTGTTTCAATGGCTATTATACCTGATAAATTGTTATATTAGATATTTGTAATACTGTTTACTGTTTTCTCTAGCTTGCCAGTGTAATGGACATAGCACTTGCATCAATCATAATGTGTGCGAACAGTGTAAAAATCTCACCACAGGAAAGCAATGTCAAGACTGCATGCCAGGTTATTATGGAGATCCAACCAATGGAGGACAGTGTACAGGTAAATATTTTTTAAAATTTCAGTGTATTTTTTCTAAGGAAAATTAAATTGAGGAAGAGGTGACTCTTTTGAAGAATATATATTATTAAATAACATTTGTATTCAGTTTTCACATTTTTGGAAAATAATAGCTATTTGTTAGGAACTGTGAACTATCAATTTTTGTGATATGTTTGCTTTAAAAATATTACTTTTTCTTATTTTAAATTAATGCATATTTATTAATATTATAGGAGATTTACAAATGCAAATAAATAAAAGGAAAAATTATAATTTCACTATTCAAAATAATAACTGTTGATAGTTTTTTTTTAAATAGTAGATTATTGTTTTGACTTTAGAAATGAAAATAATTAAAGGTTAATGGTGTATGTCTTGCATCAGGTAAGATTTTTTTTTGGACAGGGTGGTAGTACAGAATAATGTTTAAAAGAATGAGTTTGAAATCAATTCTGGCCTGAAATCCCAATTCTGTCACTGTTCAAATGTATGACCTTGACTACTTAACTTAACCTCTCAGTGCCTCATTTTCTTTGTATGTAAAAAGGAGATGTTCATACTTCCTTGGATTGTTGTAAAGATCAAATGAGATCATATTTAACATAGGCCTTAGGAATGTTACTGAACAAAGATGGGTCTGTCCTTGGGCAACAGAAAGCCAAACACTGAAGCACTGGCTTTTTGTAGAGTGAAAAGTTTATTGCAAGGCTGCCAAGCAAGGAGACCAGAGTCTCCCCAAGCTCTGTCTGGGGCATGCTTATAGGTAGAGGATAATGAGATGTGATCTGATTGGGTGTTATAGTGAGGTAATGTTGGAGGTGTGATCTGACTGGATCCTGCCATTGGTGATGCCAGAGCTCCATCTGATTGGATCATAGATCATGTCATGTGGTGTCTGCTTTTTAATTTGGTCCTGGTTCCTTGGTCCAAGGACTTAGGTCCTGTTTGTGTTTCCTGCTTGGTCTATCTGGGAATTCTCAGGTTATGTAACTTGAGACCTAGGAGTTTATGGCAACTGAAAAAGAACTTTTATTCCACAAAGTTGAAAGAGATTTGGCTGGTTCTGTGGTTACAAGAATTGAAGCACATAAAAAGAGCATTATACGTACTAGTCCTAATCATCACTTTTTGTTCAGTAAACTCTGTTTCTCTGTCTTCCTCTCTATTCTGTTGCTTCTTTCTCCTACTTTTAAAAGAATACTGGGCCTTTCTTTTAAATTTCTTTTTAAAATGGAATTTTTTAGTAATCCGTCTTTATCTCTAGATTGAACCTGTCCTTTAAATTTTTTATCTACTTTTCTCTAAGTGGAGATTACCCCTCTATCACCCAGAGAAAAACCTCAGTTTTTGGCTATGAAAAGGTGAGGAGTCTTTAAAGAGAGAATGTATCCTGGGCCAGCTCCAGATAAATATTTTAACAGTAGCTGAATATTAGAACCACCTTGAGAGATTTAAAAAATATAGATGTCTGAGCCATTTCCCGAAACAATTAAATCAGTACCTGTGTTGTAGTTGTAGGATGAATCTTAGACAATGATTTTTTTTTTTAATTTCCCAAGGAAGTCTAATAGGCACTGAGAGTTGAGACACAGGGAGAATGATTAACTGAATACAACCTTTGAGTCAACAAAATTTCTGAGGCAATACAGTTGTCCCTTGATATCTGTGGCAATTGGTTCCAGGACCCTCCATGGATACCAAAATCCGCAGATGCTCAAGTCCCTTATATAAAATTGTATAGTATTCACATATAATCTATGCACATCCTCCTGTATACATCTGTAGGTTGTCTTTTCTCTTTTTTGATACTATTCTTTATAAAACAAAAGTTTCAGTTTTGATGAAATCTAATTTATCTTTTTTTTTGTTTGTTTCTTACCCTTTTGGTGTCGTATCCAAGAATCCATTGCCAAATACAGTATCACAGTAATTATTTTAGTTTTTTGTCAACACAGGCAAAAGGAACATTTAAATGATTCTCTATTAGCTACAAAATGTTTTAAATTTTGTAAAATTTAAATTTTGTAAAACCTAGTATGGTAGGTTTTATCATTCTGACAGGCAGAGTACTTTTAGAAATATATTACTTTTGGGGGTTGAGACTTCTCTGCTAGTATTAAGACTAGTTTAGTTATTCCATAGTACTTTTTGTTACTGACATCATACATCTGGCAAGCTGAGGCACAAGGCAATGGAAAATTAAATATAATGAAAGATGCGTGCCTATCTTATTCACTGTTGCACATTCTCTAATAGTTTATCAATTTTTAAATAATTCTGAATAGGTTCTCTGTTTCCTAAAGTTTGCAAGATAATATTTTGCTGTCTGTGACTCTTAGATAATGATGTGGCATGTAAAAGTCATTTTTATTTTTTTAGGTCCACAGTAGGTACCTAACTAAATAAACAATATGTCACATATGGTGACTTATTTTTAATGTAATAATGATTAAAATCAATTTATAAAACATAGAAAGTATAAATTTATTACTATTTCTTTATCTTTAGTTTACCTTACTGAGTAAAGCTCATTGTTTTACTAGTAAATAAATTTATTAAAATTCAAAGTCCATAATATTAAGAGAAAGAAGGAAATAGATTTATATTTGAATTAGAAGTCTTTAAGTATACTACAGATTTATATTTTATTTTAAAAATTCAACCTACTAAAGCCAATCTAAGACTGTTACCAATTAATATTATATTATAGCTAGTCTATTATTATAATTAACTATTAAAATGTTTATTATTAAAATTATTTTATTTCTCATTAATGTCCCAGAAGATTCTATAAATAAAACTTTGCTCTAGAGCTAATATATTATATATAATATTACATGTAATATTATATATAATATTAAATAATATTATATTTATGTATATGTAATCTTTGTAGGTATGGAAACTATTACAATGTTAATAGCTTGGGCTTTGGAATCATACAACTTGGGTCCATACACTGGCAATGCCACTGTTACCATGGGTAAATGATGTAACTTTTTAGCGTCTCAGTTTTTCCTAATTAAATTAAGCTAATTAAACACTAATTAAATACAGCTAATTTAATTTATGGTGTTATAGTGAGTCTTAAATGACGTACTTTATATATGAAATAATATGTGTTTCTGGGAATGTTAACTCCGCATGTAATTCTGCCCTCTTCTGTTTCCACTGTGACAGGGCGGCACAGAGTTCCAATGCAATGTCCCATACCCACTTTGTACTCTCCTTCTTCCTCAAGCACAGAGCTTCTCTCTCCTGCCTTGTCTGGGGTTGGGGAAGCTATGGTGTAGGCAATGTAAGACTGTCTTTCCTATTTTCTTCAATGCCTCTTTACTTGTTATTATGCTGAAACCAGGTACTTTGATTACTTTCCTGATATTTTGGTTCTCATGAAGGTCATTCTTGCATGGATAGTTCAGTTTTGTGCTCCTTCAAGGGGAAGATTGCTGGAGGGTTCTATTTGACCATGTTGCTCCATCTCCCTCAAGCCAATTCTCACTGGGAAGACTTTACAGAGGAGTTGATTCAGTAGGCCCCGAGAGTTGAGAACCATTTACAAGCTTCAATTTTATGTTGTTGTTATTAGTTGCATGTTTTCCATTATAATTTACTCTAAATATAAAACAACTAAGCTATAATGTTATTAATCATAAATTTTTTATATCTTTTCATATATATTATTTTATTCAATTATTTGTTTAAAAAAGATATATTATAAGAAAAGTACTTCTCCAAATCATGAAATATATAAACATTTAAATTCCAATCTTTTTTTTTTTTTTTTGCTCAAGAAACTGAAATCTATAAATTCCAATCTTATATGGAGTTTTCTTCATCTAGGTTTTCCTCTTTTCTGTAACATTTGTTACAAAGTATTTAATGAGTTTTATTATTATGCATAATTTTTTCCCCTTAACATCACATTCACAATTTGTTTCAGTAATGTCTGCTTTTATATTTATTAATTTATGTATTTTAGTTCATTTTGTTTTTTTTATTGGTTCTTGAATAGTATGGTTATCTGATTTTCTTAATTTCTCTCTATATTTTTTTACTTTTAATAGTGATAAACTGTTTTTCAGTTTATGGGGAAAAGAGTTTTTTCAACAGAGTGACAATTCTATTGTTACCTTTTTTTTCTTATTAGCAAAACTTATATGTCTTTTATTGGAATACTATGAATATCTGCCTATAGCAAACTTTTACAGAAGTATTATTTTAATAAACACACTAGGATGGCACAAATATTCTCTGAAACTTGAGGGTAGTAATAAGGAAGATGAATTAACTTTCTTTTCTCTACTAGGATGAGGAATTTTTTTAATTCTAAACCCTTCTCACACATTGCAAGTTGTTCATAGAAGCAGAAAATTTATTACCAAACGAACTTGAACATTTCTTGAAATAAATGTAGAAAGTTTAATTCTCTCAAACTGGGAGCATTGCTCTGAATAATTTAAAACTGCAGATAAATGAAAATTGCTTGATATGGAAATTTTGGTTCTGTTTATTGTTTTGATACAACAGTGTTAACAGTTTGTATTCTTTTAGTATACTTTACATTTTATATTGCAGAGGAGAGCCAATGTGATATTTTAAATATTACAAAGAGAGGCCAAAAGATGAATAAATACATGATTATATATAGATAATTAGTATATGATATAGCCATGAAATTAAACTTCGATTAAAGAATCTTCAGAATAAGTTTTATGTAAAGTCAGTCATATTAAGTAAACCAAGAAAGTTTTTTTAAAAATCATACAGAGCAGATCTTCTTGTTTTCAACTGCATGATTAAAAAGATCTACATTGTATGGCTTCTATAATGTTTTTAGCTAATTTGTATTCTCACTAGACTAATTTTGTAACTCTTTGTTTTCCTTGGTAGAAGTGTTTCTCTAACTTCAGATTCTAGGGTGTTTTAAAAAAATCTATCTTTTGAAGCTCTTTTCATTCCTTTTATTTTCATAAGAGGAATATCAAGGATGAGGAAAT